AAAAAAAGATTACGAAATTTTATTTAATAAAAAAATCTTACTGTCGTATTGGACTGATTCTGTATAATTCTGCTTGCTCAAACCAGTAAGCGTGCATGTATCAGAAATTTTTTTTGACAGGATAATTTGGCAAATCCCCCTTTATTATTCCCGTTATCGTTATTACATATTTGGTCATTTTTCTTTGTAATCAGGATTAAATGTTTAGCGCGGAGATGGAGATGGATATTTTTTTTTTCATTGTGATGTTATTTCGGAGTAACCGAATGAGTGAATTCTCCGAATACAAAGAAATATTGCGACATAATTTGCGCATTTGCTCGTGAGCATAATAAAAAATTTCATCATCATAGCAAAATTACTATTGTTGTTTATTTTTAGCGTTGGTTGTTAGTTTTATTTTGGTTTGACTTCATTCGATTCGATTTGACTTGATTTAATGCAATAAGGTAACTGTATAATCCGAATCTGAATTGAAATTAGAATATAAGAACAGAATTAATCTATAAATTAGTCATATATACCGTTACTTGCACGAATTCAAACTTGTTAGCTTAATAATACTAATGGCACTAATATCATCCCACGTGTTTTATGGAGAATAACTATTAATTTTGTGCTAATAAACAAAAGTTTTAGCACGCAAGTCCATTGTTTTACCAACGATAACTTAATTCACCTTTGATTACACGATATATACAGTATATTTATATTTATATTTATAGTATATAATATATAATATATATATATATATATATGCTTTTACGAAATTTAATATTTCAGTTATGTTCTCATCAAAAACAATGATATCTTGATCTGCATAAAAAGGTATTTGGTCATTATTTAAAAGAAAATCGATCAATCAACCACCAAAGTTATTGTAATTTCTAAATTGAACCAAGAAAAATCTCTTCCAAAACTTTAATTCGTGTGCTATTCTTTTTTTCCCTCTCAAAAAGATAATAAATTAATGAGATATAGAATGAGATGCTCGAGCAGAAAATCAAACCTGTTAATTTTGAATATTCGTCAATTATAGGGTTTCATTGTCTCATCAACAAAGTAAATGTAACCTATGCATTTTGTTCCGTTTCTCTCACAATTAACAAGAAGTTCCTTCCATCTCATTCTTTTCTTTTTCTATTCTATTCCATTTCATTCCATTCCATTCTTTTCCATTCCATTCTTTTCTGTTTATCTAAATAAAACATCTGTCACACTCTTCAAATGATTCATCTCATCAGGTTATATAAGCAATTTAATATAATGACACATTAAATTATGGGTGTTCAAGGGGGGCAGGCAAAAGAGTAGAACGAAACGCGTGGAAAACGCGCGCCGATTATTGTTACACATTTTGTCGAAAAATTAAATGATAGAACAAATAATTTAAATATTACTGGTTTTAGGCTAGATTAATTAATTATATTTTGCCCTTGTTTTTTTTGTTTGTACCATTTTATATTAATCAATGATTTATTTATTTTGTGTTTACATTGAAATCAAGAGAACACAAGAGAGCGAGCGAGCGAGCAAAGCAAGAGAAATAGCTAGAAATAATAAGAATATGTTAATCAAATAAAAATATTCGCAGCAATGCAACTTTATTTTCCACATTAGTTTATTATTGTGGCCTCCGCTCGTCCTCTCAATGTGTCCGTATCTGCGTATATGTGTGTCTGTGTTGTTTATTGTGTGTATAGTAGAAAGGGAAAGTATGACAGGCACATGAATAGAAACATTAACTATATGTAGCTATTAAAAGAAAAGTAAAAAAATCAATAGATGATTAATTAAATGGGGATTTTTGATTTCGCAGCAGTATTAGTTTCATGCAAAATGCACGGGTGCATGACTTTCTGACCGTGAATCATGCCCTATTTATTATGAACACCAAAATACACGCATCACATATTAATTGACACACAAACAAAAAAAATAAGGATAAACACAGTGATGCAATTCACGCTCACGCACACGTATTTTTTGCCATTCTAGTTAGCCGGATTCTGCAAATCGCGCAAAAAGCCTATTTCTTCAGATGGGCAATTTTTCGAATTTCCCAACTGTTACAGAGAAATCGAGAATTCGGCGTTTTTTTATTGTTTAGCATGTACATCATTATTCCAACATGCACACAATATACTACAGCACAATAGGATATGGGATTGTTTTTTTGCCCAATTTTTATCGTTTATCAGATTTCCGTTTTTTCTGCAGATTCCCAAAGTTTATTTTTTATTTTTCCTGTTTCTTAAGTCAAACAACGGAGCTTCATGATGCATCCCAAACATTTTTATGGATGTAATTTTAACTTATTTATCTATGGAGAAGTGGATGTCAAATTTATTTTAGGAATTCAATGATCACTTTTTGGTAGCCACCTCTTCTTCTCCCTTTACGCATAGATGAAAAAAAAAACGGTCTGACATGTTCTTCAATAACGGTGATTTCCACCGGAAACGAAAAAATCTCAATGTGGAAACGAGAAATTCCTGCTCGTAAAGACGTGAGGTTTTTTCGTGCGGTCGATAAAAAACCAAAGTCATCCACTTTTGCCATTAAGAAGAAGGTTTGTTTTATTAAAGTAATACACGTCTATCCAGAGTCATTTGAAGCGGTGCAAGGATATACCTCAATTCAAGGGAACTCGCATACACATTACAATAAGCTATTACTAATCCCTGGTTTGAAAATATGCAGATTATATATATTAAACAATTGATTCGGTGTCCATTCATATTTTTTTTTGGGCTAATTATCGACAATTTTTTCATGGATAAAATGAAAGAGAGAGAGGGAGAGAAAATGCAGTGCTACTCTTCGAGTCTCAGAAAATCAGCATATTCCAAAACATCCTGTGTCATTGTTCAAAAACGCCCATCTAGTCCTAGACTCTAACACGTGCGTAAATATATGTGTACTATTATAAGCAACAAGACAGACGATTCACTATCATCAAAAACGGAAAAATCCCGCATATATATGGTAAAAAATTCTTTCGCACATACACACGCGCCTTTTTTTTTAAAGTTTTCTTGAGCCGTATGAACGAATAAACTCAATGATATGGATGAATAAATGGGAGGGTGAATTGGATGTTGACACAACAATCATCTCAAACACGCAAAAAAAAAAACTTATCGACTCCTTAAAGCAGAAGATAAAAGGGATTTTTGATTTCTCAATGTCGAGAGTATCGAGAAAAAAAGATCGGCATACTGATTGATTGATACATCGCAAAAATCCCACGAATTTTTTCCCGTTTTCGAAGGTGAATCATGTTTTTCATTGCTTTCGAGTTTTTCTGGTTTTTTACCTGCATCTCGTTCGTTTTGTCGAAATGCTCGCATCATGCCATCACTTAAAAGATGCCCATTATCGTAATTTATAGAAGTTCCATATTTTTTTCCTCGTCGAGAAAAAAAAAATGTGCATTCTTTGTTTATGGGGAAAGAGAAAATCGTCCATTTTCAAAGAGTATGGGAAACGTGTGCCCTTGTGTAATAAAGAAATCAATCATGTTTACGTACATATTGTGTGTAAATATGATCCCGGTAGTTTAAAAAATATGTGATACTCTAATCGTGCTGATAATGGTATTAAAGTCCCCATTGTAATTTATATTAGAGTACGCGGGTAAATGCTATTTATTTATGTAGATACATATATATATATATATATAAATGTGATTTTACAATACTATATTATATATTTTTTCACGTATAAAATAATAATAATAATAGTGGTGAATTTCTTATCAATTAAACAATCGAAATTTAGAATATTGACGATGTTTGTATACGTGTACGAACGTATTCGTAACATCAAACAACATCTACCACCAAAAAAGTGGCCAATTTCTTTAAATAAACACGCACATACAAGTTTAATAATATTTAATTTAATAGGATTTATGATTTATAACCTTTTTTTTCGCTGTTCTCCTTTCTCACTAATTTTTTATTTGCCATTTTCTCTTTATGCTAATTTATAATACTTTATAACATACATAATAAAAATACAACCTCTTTTTTTTTTAAAGGAAACCTGCAGAAAAACAAATCATGGCATCATTCTTGTTCAGCGACGTCTTATTGCTAAAAGCAACACAAATTCTAAAAATTAATCGATGAACTTTTTTTTTATTATTTATTATTTATTGTTTATTTTATTTACATATTTATTTATTTTTATTATTTAGGTATTTAGTGTATTTAGTGTGCGTATTTATTTTTTTTTTATTCTAAATACTATAAAAAAAATTATTCCTAAATATTCGAGCTGGCTCACGCGACGACAGCGACCTTTCTATTACTATCACTACAACTACAATAACGAAAAAAGATGCTGATGACGATTTTAGCTGCTGCTGATGATGATGATGACACAAAAATTTTTAGATATAAGCAGCCCGTCTTGGAGAATACGGACATCTTTGTTTAGTCTTCTCTTTTGGTTTTGTTGAATGTGACGAAAGACGACTACCGAGACGATTTTATTTTTTTAAAAACTTTATCATCCATCATTATTCTTTTGCTCATTTTTTTCTAAAGCTCACATTTATTTATATTCAACTTTCTTGGGAGAAAGGGTTCCCCGAGATTTAGCAAAACCTGATTCCACTTATACATAAATTATTTTTTTAAAATTCATTTTTTAAACGTAACGTTACAACTTGACAGTTGAAAAAATCCGCGCACTTCACGTGTAATATATATATATATTATATATCAAGAAATAGAGATATATAAAATACACATCTATCTATTCTCTTTTTCTTTTTCTTGCGGGCTCGTAGATTCTTTTATACGCTTCTTTTTTTTTATTGTCTCTGCATGTTTTCTTCGAGACACACGCATAAAATTCATATCATTGTCTACGATAATATCCATAACAATCACAATTTCTCTATATAAGAAAAGGGTGGTCACGTCACTTTCACGTAAAATCGAGAAAAAAGAAATAGTAACGACGACGCGAAAAAACAAATACCAATAATGTCAAGGTATTCAACAGCAGCAGCTGAACGACTTCCACCTATTGCAAGTTTTGAAGGAACCGCGACGACTGTTTCGCGCTCAAATAGTATATGTAGTAATAGTAGCGCTAACAATAGTAGTATTAATACAAATGGTAACAGCCATAAGAACAATCACAATCACAATCACAATAGCATTGCATTATCAACCACCGCGACAAATCAGACACCAGCACCTGTTCTTCCACCAGTCTCCTGCATCGTACCTCAACCAACTTCGCTCTTGTCGCCAATTCACACGACATTAAGTGGATTCTCAAGTCCCGAATTCACCTCTCCTCATTCAACTCCGCTTACTTATCATCATCAACCAACAACTTCTCCTACAACCCCAACATCCAATGGTTATTTCCATTACCATCAAGACGCGACGATGTTACCATATGAACAACGACGACGTCAATCCTATGCATCTGTTACATCGTCAAACGGATCACTCTCTCCGCTCATGACAGTTTCTTCATCACCACCACCACCACACTCGACGCATCATCCTCACGCTCATCATTTTCATAATAATCATCATCATCATCATCATCCTCACGAGAATAGTGGCATTAATACTACCACAACTAATGCAGTAATAACAAATGGTATTGGCTGTAGTAGTATTAATACCAATAGTAATAATCACACTCACGGCACGAACATAAATGGTGGAAGACCTATTCTGCATCACTCTTCATCTTCTTCCTCACATCAACATCATCCTTATCATTCATCGCCAACCTCGCCATCACCATATTCGTCGTGTCATTCGATGTCAATGGATCCGGCCTCTGAACTTTTAGCCGAGAAGAGACGACGTAATGCAGGTGCTTCAGCGCGCTTTCGTGATCGACGAAAGCAACGTGAACGCGACATGCAAGAGAAATGTCAATTCCTTGAAAGACGCGTTCAGGAATTGGAAAGTATGGATACCGCAAAACGAATAAGTGAATTGGAACGAAGACTGGAGGAAGCAAATTCAGAGAAACATGATGCCAAATCGAAAATTCGTGAATTGGAAGAAGAGGTAGCTTTTTCAAATTTTTTTGACGCGTGATTCCACTTTGATAATCCCTTGAATTTGATTGGTCCGAATAATAATAATAATTTGATCATCCTTAAATTCTTCTTCATTGTAACGATTAGATTCATCACCTTCGGTCACAGTTATCGGTTCACGATTATCTTACGCCGTCGTCTTCATCGGGCGAGTCAGACACGAAAGAATACTATTCACCGCAATCTCGGTCTTCGCGAGCTTCTTCATTATCTTTTGAACAACAATCAAATCATCAATATAAACAGCAACAACAGCAACAATATCATAATCAATATCAACAGCAGCATCACACTCGACTACCGAAGCCGACGGATGTCCAATCGCTATTATCATAATTAATAGACTCGATGATAATTTAAAATATAAAAGTTTATTATGATGTAATCAAAAACCAAACAATCAAAAAATCAAGCTATTATTCGAAACACGCTGAAAATAAAAAGCCAGAAAAACAAACAGACGAAAAGAAACCTCTATTTTTATTAAGCGCCAAAAATAAAACACTTTTTAGATAAAACAATTATCCTACATTTAATCACGCACCCCCCCCCAATCTAAACTCTGTCATTTACTTTAATTATAGACACTGACAGAATAACACTTTATATATGTATCAATTTTTTTTTTTGATTTGAATCTCTTAAAATTTCTATTATTAAAATATTTTATACACATTTTTAAGATCTCGCCTTTAAATTATGCACATTCTGAAAGGGTTCTTTGTACATATACGCCACATACAACAACAACAACAAAAAGTGAAAATTTTATGCATCGAATTGAAATTACAAACATACCTTTTGTATATAGTAGCCGTGGCTGGCTTGCTTCCCTGACAACCATAATTTATAGCATTTCATTCTTACCGAATATACAAATAACGAGAATAATAATAAAGTTAACAAAAAGAATATGAATTCATTATTCTGTTTTTTTTTTATCATTCACTGTTCGTCATATTTTCCTGTTTTCGGAACATTTTTTAAAACAGTCAACAATTAATTTTTGATTATGGTTTCTTTCCCAAAAAATGAAAATCAAACCTACCAATTCTAAGAATATACGAGACCATTGTAGGTGCACGAACCTTACATACGTCACACGAGATCCTCAATAATCTTTTACTTATATATATAATAAAAAGTTTTTTTGTTCCGTTATTGTTTTCTTATGCTTTTGCTCTGTCTCGAAATATGAGACCCTATTTTTTTTGTCTAGTTATCTCAATGTATGTTCATTATAAAATATATTTAAATACACGCCCTATGTACTTTTTGAATTTCTTCTTTCCTTTCTGCTATATATGGTGAACAATGTAATTAAAAAGTGCACCGAAAAAATACGTAACCTCTTCTTTTCAAGACGACGCGTGACGTCTGCCTGATATTAAATTTAAGAAAGCACTTGAATAAAATTTGCAGGATCAGATATTGCAAAATGCAATAAAAGTTCGAAAAAAGGAAAAGCGCAGTAGATAGTGTGTGTGTGTGTGTGTGTCAGTGCGCGGTTTTTTACCCGTTATTTCCATTATTTATTCATACACAAAAATGCTGTGTAATACATGCATAAGGACACGTAATAGGCGCTTTTTTATGGCCACTATAACTAAGCAATATTTTTTTACCATATTATTGTTATATTATTATACTATGATGCTAATTATTATGAAGACACGTATTGCGCGACACAGGCATTCGCCCATAGACACGAAAAAAAAAGACGTAAGAAAAAATTAACGCCAATTTCCCAAGGATACACGAAATAAATAAATAGAAAAAAAAATCGGTAAAAATCGATTCTGACAATGGTCGTGGGAAAGCTGACACAATCATAAAGGAACCATTCTTATCTGTAAGGCAAATTAGAATCACCAAAAAAATCACACACTCTAACTGTATTTCTTACGCAATCGATATCTAATTAATTTCTCATTGATCACTTATCGCGTCAACATAAGCACAAGCACAAACAAGTCAATTTTTAATGGGATGCTGGATATTCGTCATTTTTTTGTGGGTACATGTGTATGGTGGCGGGTAATACAGGATTAAAATGATAATTGATAGGGGAAATGAGAGAAAAAATCATCGGAAATTTGATTGTTTTCGAAAAAGACTAATCACATGTAAAAATGCGCTAACCTAAATTTGGGATGTGCGTGTTTAAAATGAATTCGCCATTTTTTCATGGTATAAAATTAATTTTTTACAGAATTAAAGTCATAAGTTTTTCATGGTCACACTTGCATTTTCTTTATCTAATCATTTTTTCATGGACATCTGAAAAACTATGTGTTTTCTCTGATCGTGAATTTTCTATCGATAACGTGTGTTTGTTTGTTTTATGGTGTATGTTAAACGCAGATAGAATTAAAATTCAGATTGTCCGGTGTCCCCATGATTCATGGAGAATAGGATTGGAATTTCGAATATATTGCACGCTATACTAAGTCCAGTCATTTTTATTGGATTTTTGAACTTAAAATTTTTACAAGTCAAAGAGTTCAGTGAAATAAAAAATTTGGAACAGCTCTAAATAATTTCCAAGTTACTAATCACAGTTTTTTATAAGCCCACTCGAGACGGTTTGTTGCACACGGTTGTTTGTACATGGATACGGGGATATGGAATCGACCCAAATTATGGATAGGGGTATGACCAGAGTTAAGAGTAAGTGGGCTAGCGCTGGGGGGATAAAGTTAACGTTGGTCGAAAGATTTACAAATCCACGTGTGTGGCATCTCCGCGTTCAACATGTATGCAATGTTCTCTTGTCTTGATTGTTTATCGAATCGTTATTGATTGGTGACACAATCGTCTTACGTGATTGTTGCATTTATTATATTACCCCGAGTCAAGAAACCTAATCGCCGTCTTCATTATTTTAGTTCCACTGTCGTGTACTTGCCCAAAGCTTTCCTTTCTAAAACCGAAAAAGAAACTAATGAAAATCCAAAATTCCAAATAATCGTTCTTAACGCGTGGTTTTTTCATTAATCCTAAATGTTCATTGCTATTTCGAGAGAGAGAGGTGAAACAATGCAAGTACGCGTGTGTATGTGTGAAAAAAAGGGAGTAATTTGGCAAAAAAATTTATTCGATCCGAAAAATACAATTATCAATTCATCATCATACAACATTCATAATGCATGATGGTTACTATCGCCAATTCTTTTCACACAAACAATTTATCTGACCCTTGCTCTCTCACGACACCGAGATCTCGCATCCAACTGATAATACACGATTCGCATCTCATCGAACAAAAAAAGCGCGCATTATTGTGACACTCGATTTAAAATTTGGTTCTATATCTTTAATTATTGTGGCAGTGCTAATTGTTTGATATGCAAAAATGAAAAAATGCGCAAATATTAAATTAATAATAAATAATTGATGAATAGTAATTTTTATACATGTATAATAATATATATTTTTTGAATTAAGTTCTGATTACTAGATAATAGTATTGTTATTTTTATATTCTTAATCGGTAAATTGTGAAAAAATTCGATGGAGAAACCGATTTTTAGTTATGTTAAAGTCGCGCAGCTTATTTTTAATAACATAGACAAATGATCGTCCCAATTTTTTATAAAGTATACATGTATTTTGGTTTTCTACTGTTACCCATTAATTTTCATAATGGAACTAAACTTACCAAATTTGTCGCGTTAAATCTTTAATTCTATCCTGAATTCTATCCATGATTTTATCTTTTTCTATCTCTCGCTCTACCATGAAAATGCTTTCGACTGTATGTGAAATTCCATTGAAATCGAGGAATAATTTTGCGTTCAAACCTTCTCCCAATAACTTGTTACATAAAATCCGTAATAATTTTTGTTGGTTAGGTTCTTCAACTCAGAAAAGGCATCATAATTTATTAATCGTTGATGGTTAGGTCTTTAGTCCAAAAAGGCGTCGTAATGGTTGATCGTTGTTTAAAGAATTTGGACTTCTGTAAAAGCAGTTGTTTAGTTGCTTTACCATAATTCCCAATTCCCATGACCCAAATTATTTATTGAAAACTCGAACATTCCCTTTAGTAACGCGCGCATCAAACGATATCCGTAGATATCGGCGCAGGCAATGGCAATTGACTTTAAACACGTAGTAATAATCTAATTCCTCTCTCCCACCCCACATACAGTCAAAAATCCGTGAATCCACGTAGCCAAGCAAATCAATTGAAAATTGAAAATACTTTGATATAAATTATCATTGTTAATTCATCTCGATCATATACTAATATTAGTAAATTAAATTCTGATTCTCTTTAAAATGAAATATGTACACTAATCTAGTGAAAATCAACATATTGATCTCCTTTTGATAATAGAAATAATAGTAATGCCTGTTTCATTTATCCCGAGCTATCAACGATTCCACCTCCACTTATCGCATAGGCTAATTATTATGAGACAATAAAAAGAAGTAAATGTGATTGTTGTATTTGCGATAAATGCTTTTTAGAATGCGAAAATTAAACTTACGCGCTTCGGCTTCAGGCATATCCGGAGAATCGTAAACTTTGGCAATGCGCTCTTCGCCACGTCCTTTCCGGAGATATATTCGCGTAGTTGAGCTATAGTAAAATAAAGTGGTTTATTATTATGTATTTGATTTCATATTCATATGTCCTAAGGCAACATACGCATGGGCGAGAACATGACCGCCAATTGGTTTTCGAGGTTCACTGACAAATGTCATGGAAGCTCCGGGATCAGATTGAACCTATTATCAAAGCGATTGTGATCAAAAAAGAGATTAAATTGATAAATATAAATGTACACAGTGCATTGATATTATTTTATAAGTGCCTGGTTAGTAATATAAACAGCGACATTAAATTCTTCGGCGATTTTCACCAATCTACTCAACATGATATTGAGTTTCTGTTGCCGTTCAGCTAACTCTCCACGACCAGAATAGTCGCTTCGAAATAGGTTGATGATCGAATCAATGATCTATTTCAATGATAAAGATTAATATGAATGAAGTGAGTGAAGGGACGAACTGTCGAAAATAATATGAAATACAATGTATAGTTTCTCTTACCAGCAATCGATAGATTCCTCTTTCTTCTGCAAACCTGGCAGCCACCTCGACTATAAGTTCCATTTGATGCTCAGATGTGTAAGCACGCGCGAAAAGAACGTTCTCGAGAGCTGCTTGTTGGTCGATGCCAAATCGTGCAGCAATAGACTTAATTCTCTCTGGTCGAAAAGTTCCTAAAAAAATCCATTATGCAATTTTAAATCAAATATTAGTGTGATTATTGTTACTAGAAACAAAGTCACTTTAAAAGGAATTTGATCATCTATTTACCTTCTGTGTCGATAAAAGCAACCTTTTCATAAAAACAGAGTCCGAATTCATAATAAAATGAGAATTTCAAAATATTTATAGAAGAAAAAAATGTATTAGTTACCTTGCCATTCGCTCCTCCCATAGAAGGTGGAAGCTGCGTAGTGACACAGAGCGTATGTGCGATTTGTGTCTTTCCAGTTCTGAATTCACCGAACGCTTCGGTAATAGACATTGTTGGAATTCCACCTTCGTAACAATATTAGTTTATTTTGATATTACAAAATGACTATACTCAAATCATAATAATATAGAAATCAAATAGTTTTTTACCACCCAAGAGAGCATCAAGTTGTTTGCTTCCGGTGGAAATCCACAACACCTTGGACCTAATGAAGGAGAATTCGGTCCCTGTGATGAAAGAAGATGTCTATTATATATGGTAATCGCATGAAAATAGGGTAAGTTTATGTCAATGCCAGTTTTCTAGTATATTAAATTAATTAGAGAAATATAAAGAGACCTGAAGTTTCGAAGCAGACTCTTTGACTTTATCGACCTTTGCTTCGGACAATCCTTTAATCTTGCAGAGATTCTTACGTGTGGTCATTTGGATTGCCTGAATTTCGACAAGAAATACAAAAAAAGGTTAAAAATAGTAAGGAAAGAAGCGTTTAAACAAAAAAAAATAAATAAAATTAATAAGTACCTTCACAGTGCAAATACCAGCACTTTTAAGCTTGGTAATGTCTGCAGCACTGATTCCATGGTTTTGAAGCTCATCGATTTCGGTGTAGAAAAGTTCCTTTTATTATTTTATATGTGTATTATGATAAAGCGAAAAGAGAATGAAAATTTTGTACATTCGTATAATATAGAAAATTTATACTATTTACTTCTTCCTCTTCTTCATGATTATCTTCTTGGTCTGGTACATTATCGATAATTTCCGTCATTTTGTAAGTCTCTATTACTTTTTGTTAAGAAGTGGAAGTTCGAAGAAGAAAGTGAAATGGGAAGTGAAAATGACAATGATGATGTTTATGTAAAAAAAGAATACCTTATTTGCGTTTGATAAATTATTGTTAAATAAACTACTTTGCGAAAAAAAATCATTGTCTAATATATTGCATTATGACTTCTGTAATTAATACATTTCCAAATATATAGTCCAAATCAGTTTAATACATGTTTTCAACGTAAACAAAACATCGATATTTCTGGTAGCTATTTCATAAATTTAAAAAAGGGATAATTAATACTATTAATAACAACATCTGGTCCGGTGCAAAAAGATTGAACCTCAAATTTTTTAAAATGAAATTTAATTCCGTATTATTTAATTAAGCGGATTTATTAAAATGTATTTGTTTTGATTATATAAAATTTGATTAAAGTTAATATAAAATATCAATAGTAAATAATTTAATTGTTAAACTTTGAGACTTAATTTCATATGAAATTTAAATATATTTTATTAAATACAAAATAATATGCTTGCATAATTTGAGGTTCTAATCTTGCAAATTGATAAAATAATGTTTATAATATTTTTTTTTAGAAAAGTCTTGCTTTATTTATTATTAAATAAAAGTACAACAGAATAATAAACATAATATAAATAGTTAATTTAGATTATTCTTATTTAATATAAAAAAATTATAAAAATTAGAATTAAATTATATTGATTTTCATTTTATTATATTATTTATTAAAATAGAAATAATTAATTATTAGTAATCAAAATTATGATCCATTGTGAAAATTTTGATATATCAGATAAATATTAATAGATTATTTTTTCAAAATAAAATTTTAATTCTGTTTTATTTAATTA